TGCATTATTTTTAGATGTTCAGTTATAGTTCAAAGAGCCAAAGTTGTATGCACAATTTTACCAAAATCAGTGATATAGCCCATTTACGGTTACTTGACCTTAAAAATATCTTAAAAAAGAGTTGTGATGAAATATTATTCAAATGTTCGACAATCTAAGTGTCATTAACTCCACATTCTCCAGATACAACAAAATAAACAACAAATACCAAAATGACATTAACCAACCACTAACGATGTGTTTCAAGTTTAAAAAAAAAAGACCTTAAACGTATATAGACAAATATCTAATTGAAGATGACCATGTTTTAATCATTTAATTTAATATTTTTAGACGCCTTTTGGTTTTGGTTTTGGTTATTAATTTGTGTTTCTGTTTTTATTTCGTTTTCGTTTTTGTGTCGTTTGATGGCTTTTTCATTGGTCCATACTTTTGTTAATCACACCTCTTCTTTTGCATATGCAATATTTAAAAAAGAAAAGAAAATAACTAAATCCAAAAGTAATAGCAAAGATTATCGCTATTTTACGAAAGTTTCCTTTGATCTTGCTGACTGATAATTTCCGTTCTCAGCGGAGTCGAGTGCTATGAAAACGGAGTCGAGTGATATGAAAATTATCGCTAGAAACTAAGGGAACACGTGCCGTTGTCAAGGAAATTAACATCGTCTTGATAGGTAAAATAGCGATAAACAGATTATCATTGGTCATCTCAACTCGATTGCTTTTCTCGCTTTCGCCTTACCGGCTCAAGCGAGAAAATCAATCTCGTTGAGATAACCAACGATAATCTATAAATATTGACTTTGCGCTACTGATAATTCTTATTACAGTAACCATTATTGAAAAAAGGAAAAACTTCGTATTCAATTATTTTTTAAAATTCAGTCTTTCTTAAATGCCTTTTTGCAAATGTTATTGTCATTTTTTTTTCTAGCGCCATCATTTTGGCATTGCTTGGAAGGCAATGGAATGTGCATTGGGAGAAGACAGTCACCTGTCGATATTAAAACGAAAGATGTGGTAAAAAACAACATAATTGTCCCGTTTGACTTCTCGGATCTAGAACATACAGAAGGAGTAAAAATGGAGATGAGAAACAATGGTCATGCAGGTAAACATATTCTTAAAAAAAATATTTTTATAGGCTTATATTCTTCGTGAAAGTTTACATCTTAAATACGCACAAAATTGTTATCGAATTTGAATTATACTTGTAATAAGTTAGAAAACTTTTGTTGTAAGTGATGTTTTTTTTTTCTGTTGTGTTGTTATTTTTCTTTCTTTTTAACCTTTTTACTATATTCTATCGTTTGTACAGTTATAATAGACTTTCCGGATCATCAGCCACTCATTAAAAGAGGAGGTCTTCAGGAACCCCTTTAACTTAAAGAATTTCATTTCCATTGGGGGAGTAAAAGTCAATGGGGTTCAGAGCACACAATAAACGGACACTGATATGCCATGGAAGTAAGTAGACTTAAGCCAAGGCTCCGTGTTAAAGACCGTACTTTGACCTATAATGGTTTACTTTTATAAATTGTGTCTTGGATGGAGAGTTGTCTCATTGGTAATCATACCACATCTTCTTATATCTATTGGTTATTATTCTCCTTGTATATTTTAGACGACACACTTTTAAGTAGTCTAGACAAGATGTATATACATATACTGATAAATTTATGAACCTAAACACATCCTTACAGTTTATATGAGGTTCTCGATGGGTTAACTTAATAGAGAATAATGGGCAAAAAATAGAGTATAAAATGAAAATTACACTTTATAATTTCATGCGTACTAAGCGCTTTTCTTGATACGCCTTTACCAAGAACGTTACAAGACGACTATTTGAAAAACAAAATGTTATTAGTATAAACTATAAAGAGAAAAGAACAAAAAGAATACAATATCATGGGATGTCAAAAAGTAAAGAATGTAATATAACGGGAAAAAAATAATAGAAAAACATTGCCTAACAAGTTAGCATTCCCCCCCCCCCTTCCAAATAAAAAAATACAGACCCTCATAAATACTTACTTTCATCAAGTGAATGCTTTTTAACAGAACATTATGCAAATGTTGGTCACAAACGTACATGTCATTAAAAGATATGAATATTCCTTTCTTTGGTGTATTGAACTTTTCCTGAACCTTTACAATGTACATGTTGTATTTCAGGTCCATTTTGATTTTGTCCCAACAGGAAATGGACCAGTAGAATTACAAGCAGTGATTTCAGTATTAATCCATGTAAGGTCATTTTAACTCATCTCGTTACCTAAAAAATCAAAGCAGAATTCACAAATTAAAGTGTACATGAAATTAAGGCAAATGAATAAAAAGACATATGAGCTATACACCAATAAGACAGAAAACAAACAACAAACAGACAACATAAAGAGGTGACACATGACCCTTTAAATACCACATTTATGATGAAGGTAGGATATGAGGTTTTATTATTATCCTTCATCTATCGAATTGATTATTAATTACTTTTTGGCTCAAGAGAAAAATACTCCTGCATAATAACACAAGACGAGAAGAAATTGAAGAACAATTGATAAAGTAGGGTCTGCTAGTGGGGCCACTTGCGGGAAATTTCGCCTAGCATTGGGTAAATGGGTGCGTTATAAGTAGAAGCAGGCATTTTAATTTGTACAAGATAATCCTTTAGTTATTCCTTTCAATGTGTTAGTGACAGGGTTCTTCCACGTTCAGAGAGCATGACTCTTTTAGAATGTGATCGGATTAACGTCCTGGTCCTTATTTGACTTTTGATATATCATGTTATGGAGGGGTATTTGCGAAAAATACCAGTCGAGGGATTGTTAAATTTCCCGAGCCGCTAGGCAAGGGAAATTTGGTCCCAAGACTGGTATTTTTCGCAAATACCCCTCCATAACATGATATATCTAAAGTCAAATAAGGACCAGGACGTTAATCCGATCACATTCTAACATGATATATCTGTTTAATTACACCGAATAGATCTTGATTGAAACTCTCTGTACTGGTGAAAGGAAATATTTTTTTACTAGTCAGCTGTAACCCATAAACATGCATAATTTTGAGGATAAGTAGAGACTATCATAATACCGCGGGAATTATACATGTACTTATACGCGTTAGCGCTGTCTTGATGTAACGTCATATCCTAATGATTTTGGCGGGAAGAAGCCCGCGAGGGTAAAAAAGGAATATCCAAAATGGCAAATACCACGGCATAGAGGGGAATTTGATGCAAATTCACCGGCAGTGGTGAAAAACATGCAAATTCGTTTGAAATGAGAAAAAAAGGTTAGAATATGCGAAAAATACACTGGCTACCAACCAATCAAAATTCAGCATTCTTATATAAGGCGTAAGTAGTATTTATAACCCCTCAAATCCACTGCTTGGTACCGAAGCACAACACACATAAAAGTACAGTATTTCTACAAATGAAAAGCATACCTGTGATACAAATAACATCTCTTTGCTAACAAATTTTTTTACATTGTTAATATATATGAATTCAATGACAGATGATTTTCATTGCAGCCTGGCAAACACAATCCTAATTATGACAAAATAGTGTCAATGCTCCCATACATAGCCTCACAAGGTAAGTGAAACAGACAACCTTTTCGACACACATTAGGAATGAAAACCAAAACAAAAGATTTTGATATGATTTAATAACTTCATCAATAAATCAAACAGAATAAAGTTTAACGGCGTTGTATGGCATGTTTTTATGAAATATATGTTATTAATATTCGAATGAGATATATACAGCATCAAAGCTTAAACATGTATAGGTTTGATGATTGCCATACCACTACCTTCATCCCGAGCATCGCTCTCGTTTTCATCTTTAATTCAAGCAGCATATTATCCAATTACTTGCAGGGTAATAAGATTTACCCGATAAGGCTCTTGCTGACATACCAGGCAATCTATTTGTATAATAATCATTGCTGCAATTTGAATTATTCCAATCAAATTAAGAATTATAAATTTATGAAATTCTTTTCGCATTTTCCTCGTTCAATTTTCTGACTTATGGCAGTTATGCCTCTAACATTTTAATTGTGACATTGGAGACGTTCAGGTCACCATATTTTCTATAGTCCTGCCTTCAACCAGGAAAATGAAATGAAAAGTAAAACTTTAATATTTTTGGCGATTTCTTTTACCATGTATCAAAAGGGCATAATTAATTAATTTTGATTCTTTGATAAGCCATTGAATCATGTTATTTCTGGCTACATGTTGATAATTTTCTGAGAAATGGTCGCGAACGAAGACACAGGCTTAAACAGACATAGTTGGTTGGATGGAGTGACAGCATGCATTATTTGAAACAGTACCAAAATATCAAAATCGTTATCTAATACCAATTATCGTGGTTTAAATGACATTTTTTTCCTTCTTCCTTAAGAGAAACTATGCATTGCGCTCAATGCAGATGAACCGAGTACAAGTAATCCATTATATTAGAATTAAATTGCTTATCAAACTGTATACGAGAAGTTTGCTAACATAATGCAATGTTGTTGAGCGAAGGTCAACGGTCATGCAGCCAGCATTACCAACATGATCATAGGGAATCATTAGCCCGTTATAGACACGTTGATTTGAAACAATAATCAGCGATAATTAGTCAATACAAAAATAACGTCAACAGAGTTCCTTCTATGAAGTATTTTACAATATATTTATAATTATAGCCTTTGTATAAGGTCGATACGAGGTTATATCGACCTAAGAGAAGCATATTGACTGAGGATGAAGTCCGAGGTCGATATGCTTCTCCAGGTCGATATAACCTCGTATCGACCTCAACCAAAGGCTACAATTGTTACATTATATTATTAAAAAAAATATTGGAGTGCAAACTGAATAAATACAAATGTACATGTGATCAAGTTTTAACGAATCATAACTCCTTAAAAATATTCGATTAATAATATTAACAATTTTATTTCAAAATATTCTGATTTACAGGTAGTAAGATAGTCCTCGACACATTTCCAGTCATATATCTCTTCCCGGAATCAACCACATGTTGGTACCGATATTGTGGAAGTTTTACAACACCTCCATGTACTGAGGATATTATATGGACCATTTTTGAACACAGCATTTCTATGTCAGAATACCAGGTAAATAATATATCATTTTTTTTTATCAAAATTATTTAACTACTCCAATTACTGTAAAAAAGAAAAAAAGATTTAAGAATATTTATTACTTCCATTAAAGCAATCTCTAGCAAGGACCGAATACTCTGCATGGGAGACTGCCATTAAAGTGCCAATTGGTCCATCTGTTCAGCTTCTTTATCATATACTTATAGAAAATAATGGTATAATTCTACCCCTTGATAAAACTAATTTGTATATATTTTTATTCATTATATTTGAAGAAATGTCTCAGCCGTGTGACATGACTTTCGTTATCAACTGCTTGCGGTTTATATCAACTTATTTCGGTTAATATCGCATGCCTTTCTGTAACGTTATCGTATAGGATTTTGACGTCATTCTGCAAATCCGGAAAATACACCTTATGGCACATTTTTAGTGAAAAAACATAACTAAGTATGATAAAAATTAAATATTAGGAAACAGAAAAGTATATTATTAACAAATGCAAAACAAATGATTCAATAAATCCATTTTTCAAAGTTTTAAAAAAAGTTCTTGGCTGTATGTCTTCTGCTGAAGTATATGATAAAAAGAACAGAACATGTCATTTTTCATATCAGACCCCTTATCAGCCCATGGTCAAAATCATCTTTCGAGCCTGTCGGCTCTCGGGCTGATATCAATAACTAGGGCTGATAAGGGGTCTGATATGAAAAATGACATGTTATAATCTATATAATCTATGTACATGTGATATATGTAAATGACAGACTGCTTATTAGTGAAAAAAATCAATAAAGAACAATACTCAGAATTTGCTGAGTCATTAACATTTTTCAGTTAAAACTAAAAAAAAAAATTAAGTGACTATGCATAAAAGAATGTTTGATGGGACCATCAAGTATGTATTCAAATAATTCTTTAACTTTTGAAGACCTTTTTCTCTTTTCTTCATAAATTTTGCAAATTATTCTCTATTCTTTATATACTTCAGCACCCCGTTATTCTCTATTTCTTTATTTTTTTGTTGTCCAATTTTCTATAGTATAATATTAAATTGGATCATCATCTTTAAACCATCCAGACCCTCATAGAAAGGAAGAGATACGTCTTATCAGATCTTGCTCGATATCTTATTAAAAGCTTATAAATAAGATATCTTGATTGATACTAAAACCCGAAAGATGTCAAGTATTTAAACATGCAATTATAAAACAAATGAAATTGGATAAGTTAGCAAAATTACAGACTTGTTTTTTTCATATCTATATATGGTTCGTTGTAGATAAATGCATTCCGGGCCTTGATGGGAACTCCAAGTATGTTTGAATACAATATCGTGGATACATTTAGGCCTGTTCAACCATTGTTGCAACGTACAGTAACCCTTAGCTGTCCTCGAAGGAGAACATATGACAATTACCGTCGTTTTGAATCTGATTACGGATGCATCAACCATGGATATAGGAGAGAAAAGAGTCAAAAGACGAATTCCCAGTCAACATCTATATCCGATTACAGCGTGTGTTTATGGGTTGATTTTTACAACCAAAACTATGTTGATGAACCCTAGTTAACAAAATTAATTATTAAAATATAGAAGAAAATTGTCTTGAAGAATTGATTGATACGGTATCATTTTTCTTTTTTAGTATTAGCATTATTCATGGAAAAAATTGATAGCTTAGAGAGCAATCATTTGATATTCTGTTAAGGGGAATAGGGAAAGAGTATTTCTTTAAAAGAATGGTCTAGCCTTGTAAGAACCGAAAAAAAATATCTTGCTACAGACAGTATGGAAAAAATATATTCTTGCATACAAAATGTAGGAAACGAGTGTGTTCAAGAGTGAAAATAGATTTTTGCGGTACAATGTCGCGCGAAATAAATTTATGTAACAGACCTTCATGTATCAGCAGGAAAAATAAAAATTATGTCCACAAAACATCCACCTGCCCCTTCATAAATTCTAATGGTCATCCCCTTACAGAAATTCACAATTCACGGGTGTTGTATTCCCGAGTAGAATTCTTGATGTAACGCAGTCATTCTAAATTATATCAATTATCTTATGGTAAAAACTAAATTATTTAAATGCCCAAAAAGGCGCAAGCCAGGGCCGACAGTGCAAGGGCTGGATAGCCATGCAAGGTAGTTAAAAACTTCCATAGTCGTGATGTAACGCTATAAGTAGAGATTTACGGAAAGTCTCGGTATGATCACTAGCGACTGTTCACACCGACTTTGACAGATAAAATGAAAGGGGTCGTCTCAGTAGTGAATTTTACGGCGCATTTGATTCATAAGTTATATTTCTGCAATTAAATAAAATTGGCGAAACATATTATCACTCCACCGACCAATAAGCAGCGAAATTTGATTCTTGATATTCTGTAAATAGTTATCAAAGGTACCAGGCTTATAATTTAATACGCCAGACGCACGTTTCGTCTACATAAGACTCATCAGTGACGCTCAGATCAAAATAGTTATAATGCCAAACAAGTACAAAGTTGAAGAGCATTGAGGACCTAAAATTCCAAAAAGTTGTGCCAAATACGGCTCTGGTTATCTATGCCTTGGATAAGAAAATCCTTAGTATTTAAAAAAATACATACTTTTTTAAACAGGAAATTTATAAAAATGACCATATAATTGATATTCATGTCAACACCGAAATGCTGATTACTGCGCTGGTGATACCTTGTAACAGTATAGTTTTTTCTCAGTACACCTACAATTCATAGAGTACTAATAAAAAAACAGTTAGAATCATTTTCCTGTTCAACAGACAAAAAAATAGAGGAAGGGTAATTAAGTTTGGTTCGATGGACCAATTAGAGTTTGACGAAATTATGTCAACCAATCACAGACAAAGGTGGACACGTTTTAAAATTTATCGGAATAATCAGTCGCAGTTTTAGTGGAGGATAATCCCAGGATCATTTCTACCATATTGTTTTGAACCTACATTTAAAATGCGATGACGAAAATAGAGGAAGGGTAATTTAGTTCGGTTCGATGGACCAATTAGAGTTTGACGGAATTATGTCAACCAACCAAAGACAAAGGTGGCTACGTTTTAAAATTTGTCGGATTAATCAGTCGCAGTTTTGGTGGAGGATAATCCCAGGATCATTTCTACCATCTTGTTTTGAACCTACATTTAAAATGCGATGGCCATTTTAAAAATTGGATAAGGCTGTCAGACATAGTTTTTATAGTTTGTTTTTTTTTTAGTTGACAAAGAACATTTCTATATTCAAAGATAGGTTCAAATACATTTCAAGTCCGAAAATTTACGTTATATCTTATTTTATATATATATATATTAAATGCATCCTCAATCTCAATATGTCCATCAAAAAGTTTTGCAAATTTAGAATTCCAACTATTTGCTTATATAAATTTAGAAAATGACTTTCTGTGGTTGTATACGTTGAAATGCTAATTGTTTCGTATTTTTTATTTTTATTTTGGTACGATCCCCTCCATTTTACATGTCAGAGTATGTGTAAACAGTCGGTACAGAGACTTTCCGTACATCTATAATAGCACGGAAACACGCATATCGACATAAAAGTAATTATAAACATTATTTCGAAACAAAGACATTCAAGTAATTTCTATCCCACGATGAATATTTTTCCCAAAATTTGCATACAAGTTATTTTCACGCACTTTAAATATGTAATTAAAAATATACCTTCATGTGCTTTTTTATGCTATTTTAAAAAAAATGATGGGTCCATGTACTCGTTTTCAAGTTCAATCATTTTAAATAATATAAAAAATAAGTCGGAAAATGCATATTTTACTGATACATGATTCTCATAAAATTCTTTTTATTCCCAAAAAAGTTTTTTTTTTTTTTATGAACAATCTATGAAAATTTTGGCAATTTTGCACGTTTTATTGCTTGAAAAATAGCACGGTGATACATACTGTTAATTATATTTTTGAAAAAAAAAGCATAGTAAAATATTGATTTAAGCAAAGTATAAAAAAATCCATTTGAGGAAAAATACACTGATGATCCACCATAATCGGTTATTTGGTGGAAAGATGTAACTACAATTTGACAACGCTTATATATATCAATTGACTGATGCCGGTGATTTTGAACAAATTCATATTCCAACGGACGGTGTTTCTGACGACTGATTTTGGTAAGGCAGCTGACTGGTATTTGACAAATAATGATACATACATTAAATCTCTTTTATTACATGACAATAAAGTAGATGTATACTGTTGTTATACTTGAAACTTTGAATGTGGGTTTCAAACTTTCGATAAGAGATATTTTGCGGGAAACTTTTTCTATGACGACCAATTCAGTGTTCTGAAGAAAGACAACTCTTTTCTTAAGGATTATGTACCCTTGTGTTGATTCAATGCTAAACATATAGAAATTTTATAGAAAATCCACAGCCTTTCCCCTTGTACTCTCATATTTGGCAATTCGGTGCTTGGTAGATAGAGGATTATTGCATGCAGTGCTAGCAATAATTTCATTAAAACAAGTTTATAAATTTAGATATTGGTTAAAACAAATATAAATATGGACCAATTCAAGTACACCTTCTAGGGTGCGCTCGACTTTAGTGACTCAGCACGAGGTGTTTTGGAATTTAAAGGTTGTTTATGACTTTTTGTTAACAATAAACGCTAGTACATCATAGAAAAACAAGTGAGTAATCTATGTTTAAAATTTTATAACAAAAATCTCTGTATTAAAATCTGTGGATTTTCTACAAAAATCTTGGTTTTATTTTCACCAAATTCTTTTTTTCTTCTAAATGCAATTAAACTATAAATAATAATGCTTTGCACGAAGTTTCCCTTTTGTATATGTTCAAAATGGCCCATCTCTATTATTCATTATCTTTGGTGTTTTGATACTATTGCAGTTTGAATATTTCGTAATTCACAGGGCACAGAAGGGGTCATAAACCTTAAAACAACATAAAAACTGCTAAAAACTTTTTTAAAAGGTTGGTGCCATATATTTATTTGGGTTTTATTTGAAAGAAAGAGTACACAAAGCAAAAATCTTCTTATAATTTTCTTGAAGAAATGTATATATTGTTTAATACTGGACATATTATTTCACTCCTGCGTAACATTTTTTGCAGGCATGAGATAAATCATATTTTTAAGATCAAAACACCAAAAATCATAAATTCTTGTATAAATAATTGATAGATACAAATATTTTGTTTAAATAACGTGAACAAATAATTATGCTTGTCGGTTCGATTGTATAAAATGATATGTATTTGAATTATTTGTTCCCCAAATCAATAAATACCTGAATACAAAATTTAAAGAACAAAATCACTGATAGAACTGAATAAGCATATCTTTTCACATACTACAGGTATATTATCCATACCATGAAAAGGTGTGGATGTGGTTTATAGAATAAAGAATAATGAATTAAAAGTTAACGAATATAGAAAAATAGGACAACATAAATAATGAATAGAGAATAATGGGATGCTCAAACATAAAAATAATAATTGTAAAAATAAAGAAAAGAGAAAAAATTGTAAACATTTAAAGAATAAAGAACTGAAGACCCCACCTGCCAGACCCAAATGGACTTTAAACTTATTCTTTGTTGAAACAATAATTAAACATGTCAGTCACCCGTGAAGGTAACTAATACGGACATTGTATGTTTTGAAACATAACAGAAATGCCGAATTATTTAGTTGTTTTAATACTGTCTGTATTTGTTTTGCATGGTGCTTTATATGTACATAAAGTGGAACAAAAAATTGTCCAAATAACAGACGAGTTACTTCAACACGGAAATGAAATAAAGAAAGTGAAAGAAGAATTTGAATCGACCAACAAGGCACTAACACAAGTGAAAGTAGAATTGGAATCGTCGAGAAAGGAACTTAAACAAGTGAAAGTAGAATTGGAATCGACGAAAAAGGAAGTTACACAAGTGAAAGTAGAATTGGAATCGACGAAAAATGAACTTCAACAAGTGAAGGTAGAATTGGATTTGACGAAAAAGGAGGTTAAACAAGTGGAAATAGAATTAGATAAGATTAAAAAAGGTAAATAAACACAGTCGAGAGCATATTTCAGCTATATCATGATACTAGTATAGGGAAATGTTCTTTTTTTAAAGCGCAAATGTGTTCTATAAATTGAAGCGCAAATGTCCATAAAAAGCGCAAATATCCTATGAAAAAACACAAACGTCCCGGGCCGACTAGTAAAAATAATCCAAATCAAAACTTTTTATACTTAGGGAGCATCCATTTTCACAACATATCTCAAGGGTTATTATAGAGTCAATTTTTCGTCCCAAAAATGCACAATATATTTGCCGATTGATGTCAAGAAAACATTCATATTCATCAACTTATCACAATTTATAATGATATTAATAGATCGATTACCTAATCATTTTTGCTAAATTGTGATTTGTCTATATGCCTTATTGTTTTTCTGTACGTATACATCCCGTCATTGTGTTATTGTGCTATCGTAATTTTGTATTCTTGTCTTCCATATTTGCTAATGTGCTTTGTTTTTATGCCTTGTTGTGCTTCTTTGTTACATATTTGTTTGTTTTTATAGTGGTTATGATTACAACAAAATGATTACTGTTGTACCCCTATTTTTGACATTTTTACCTATTATGTTAGTTTGTTTTGTTCACACATTGTTGTCAATATACTAGTTATGAAATTTGATGCGACTTTCATACAAGTGAGAGGTTCAACTAGCTATAAAACCAGGTTTAATCCACCATTTTGTTGATATATATTCCGTATCAACTTCACAAATAATACACGATGGTCTTGAAGAATAGATTTTTGGTACTGACGTTGTTTATCTTCTTAATAACGTGTTCCAGTATTCTTTTATTCGTCATTATGAATATTACTTTTACTGTTTAGTCTGTGTTTTGTGATATCCATTTGACGTGACTCTGTAGTTATACATCCCGTCATTGTGTTATTGTTCTATAATAGTTTTTGCATTCGTGTCTATCATTTTTGCTAATGTATTTTGTCTATATGCCTTTTTGTGTTTCCTTGATACATATGACGTAGCTCTGTCTTATATATCCCGTCATTGTTTTATTGTTCTATAATAATTTTTGTATTCTTGTCTTTCATTTTTGCTAAAAATCTTTCTCTATATGCCTTTTTTGTGTTTTGTGATATATATGACATGGCTCTGTACTTATACATCCCGTCATTGTGTTATTGTTCTATGATAGTTTTTGTATTCTTGTCTTTCATGTTCGCTTAATTGTGCTTTGTCTATATGCCTTTTTGTGTCTTTTGATACATATGACGTGGCTCTGTACTTTTACATCCCGTCATAGTGTTATTGTGCAATTGTAATTTTTGTATTCTTGTCTTTCATTTTTGCTAATGTGCTTAGTCTATATGCCTTTTTGTGCTTCTTTGTTATATATTTGTTTGTTTTGATAGTGGTTAAGAATATTACACAATTTTAACTGCTGTACCCCTATTTTTTTTTACATTTTTACCTATTATGTTTGTTTGTTTTGTTCACACATCGTTGTCAATATAATGGAATTTGATGCGACTGTCATACAAGTGAGAAGTTTAACTAGCTTTAAAACAAGGTTTAATCCACCATTTTGTTGATAAATATTCCATATCAACTTCGCCAATAATACACGATGTTGTTGAAGTGTAGATTCTTGATTCTGACGTTGCTTATCATCTTGAGAACGTGTTACAGTATTCTTTTATTTGTCTTTATGAATATTTTGTTTACTGTTTAGTCTGTGTTTGATGATACCCATTTAACGTGACTCTGTACGTATACATCCCGCCATTGTGTTATTGTTCTATGATATCTTTTTTATTCTTGTCTATCATTTTTGTTAATGTTCCTTGTTTATATGCCTTTTAGTGGTTTTTTTAATATACATATGACGTGGCTCTGTACTTATACATCCCGTCAATGTTCTATGATAATTTTTGTATTCTTATCTTTCATTTTTGCTAATATGCTTTGTCTATATGCCTTTTTGTGTTTCTTTGTTACATATGAAGTGGCTCTGTACTATACATCCAGTCATTGTGTTATTGTGTAACGGTAAATGTATGAATATACATTTGTTTGTTTTTATAGTGATTAAGATTATAACACAATGGTGACTGCTGTACCCAAACTTTTGAAATTTATACCTATTATGTCTGTTTGTTTTGTTTACACATCGTTGTCAATATATAATGGAATTTGATGCGACTGTCGTACAAGTGTGAGGTTTAGCTAGCTATAAAACCAGGTTTAATCCACCATTTTCTACATAGGAACATAATGCCTGTACCAAGTCAGGATTATGACAGTTGTTATCTGTTCCTTTGTTGTGTATGAGCTTTTGGTTTTGCCATTTGATTAGGGACGATCCTTTTTGAATTTTCCTCGGAGTTCAGTCTTTTTGTGATTTTAAATTTTATTAAATGTAAGGATACATGTAAGTTCAGACAATCATTAACTAGATCTTGGTTATAATTCCTCATGCCCAATATTTCTTTTCCAGCCCTAAAGTTAGTAAGTGATTGAATAATATTTCTCTAAAACAAGCTTACATGTACCTATAATTTAAACAAAGGCAACAGTAGTTTATCGGTGTTAAAAAGTCAAAAATCGATCAACTAGTTACAAAACAAAACCAAGGGAAAAACATCAACTATATGAGGAAAGAAAACAAAGGAACAACAGGAACACCGAAGTGCAGCAAAAACAAACGCCAACTGCAGAACTGTAAAACTGTTACAATTGCCCCTTCAAAAACAATCATAATTTATTGATTACAATTTTTGATTTTTTGGTTTGTTTAGGTTTTTTAACATGTTTAATTACTATATTTTCAGACATACTTAATGGTAGCATTCCTTAAACATGTTTAAATGACTAATTTATAAACTAATTTTGTAAACAAGATAAATAGATCATCATTAACAGCGATTCAACCTTCATGTTTTTCAGAACTTCACACACAAAGACCTGGGTTTTATGTAACTCTGTCGTCCCATACTACCTTACATCAGACTCAAAGAATAGAGTTCGACCAGATTATAACTGATGTTACAAATAATTATGATAAGATAACTGGAATTTTTACAGTTCCAAAGGACGGACTATATCATTTTTCGTTTACAATGTTCTCTTCAAAGGACAGACTACATGCCGAGATTGTGCATAATCATCAAGTGATTGGCCGAAATGTTGGAACTTCCGTCTACGTGTCAGCAACAATTAACGTAGTGATTTCCTGTAAACAGGGAGATTTAGTTTTTGTACGGCACTTAGCAGGACAAGGTGCTGAGACCATCTTTGGGGAACGATATCCAGCATTTTCGGGCTTCTTAATTAACTAAAAGCTGACGTGACAATATGGCAGGTGACAGACGTATTTTTTTTATTGTCCGGTACCTTATGTGATTTCCTTGGAAAGAAAGAAGTCTAAGAAGAAGGGTAGAAGAATAAATTCAACTGAAAATAAAAATAATACTAACAATACATGTGACATTAATTCAGGTGAGCAGTTCCACATTGTGCCGGTAGAGTAAACACGGGTGCAAATATAAACAATAACAATAACAATATTAAAAAAATGAGCCAGTCGAAGCTCAATCAGACTGATACACAATTAATGTACCAACAAGGTCCAATGTTTCCATTTCCATAACAACAGCAGTTTTGTTCTAGTCCGACCACTGGAGTATATCCTCCTCCAATGCAACATGTTTCACCCATTACATATGCACAACAACGACCACCATGGGTAGACGAGATGTTCAAACGTATGGACAAATTTCAGTCCAAATTAGATAAACTTGACCAAATCGATAATCTAGTAACCACAATAAATTCTAAAGTTATTCGTCTCGAACAAGGCAGACATTCTTTGGATGAACGTTTAGAGCATGTAGAAAAATGCACCTAACTCATTAGCGATGATTACGACGGGCAGAAAGTGAAGTTCAATGATATGAAATCTGAACTAATCAATATTTCTAAAGCTATGAAATCTAGTACTTCTGAAGTTAATAAAATAGATAAAAAAAATTCTTTGTCTGTTTCTGACTTACGAAACGAGTGTGGTAAATTGAGGGAAAGTATTTTGGATATCCAAATGAAGTCCACGAGTAACAATTTGAGTATAAAAGCAAAGTTTCAGTTATTGTCTGAGGTGATCTTAACAGCGGTACAGGCGAATTATATGATATCTTAGAAACTGATAATTTAGACCGGAACGCATGAAATTATTAAACGTGTTGTTTTCAATTTTTTACATCACTGGGTCGATACCTCTGCTGGTGGACTATCAGTCCCCGAGGGTATCATCAGCTCAGTAGTCAGTACTTCGGTACTGACATGATTTAACAAACTTTTCTAAAATTGTCAGTTTTTAAATTTTGAAATTATTAAGAAACTAAGGTTTCAACTCCCTTAGGCAAAGTTGACTTTAGATGAAGTTGGCTATTTATTTTAGGTATTTTTGTCATATAGTTCTTCAACGGTTTCGGTACTTATACATCCTTGGATTTCAAATGTTTGGCTTTGGGCGTTCCTGATGAAGGTAAATCCAGAAAAGCGCTTCGGACGCATGAAATTATTAAACGTGTTGTTTTCAATTTTTTACATCACTGGGTCGATACCTCTGCTGGTGGACTATCAGTCCCCGAGGGTATCATCAGCTCAGTAGTCAGTACTTCGATACTGACATGATTTAATAAACTTTTCTAAAATTGTCCGTTTTTCAATTTTAAAATTATTAAGAAACTAAGGTTTCAACTCCCTCAGGCAAAGTTGACTTTAGATGAATTTGGCTATTTATTCTAGGTATTTTTGTCATATAGTTCTTCAACGGTTTCGGTACTTATACATCCTTGGATTTCAAATGTTTGGCTTTGAGCGTTCCTGATGAAGGTAAATCCAGAAAAGCGCTTCGGACGCATGAAATTATTAAACGTGTTGTTTTCAATTTTTTTACATCACTGGGTCGATACCTCTGCTGGTGGACTATCAGTCCCCGAGGGTATCATCAGCTCAG